GTTAGGACTTATTTTCATATAACAAACCATTCCCAGATTTATATCTTTAAACAATAATCACTATTTTACACAGCTGCAGATAGATGAGTAGAAGGAGGGGCAGATGGGTGATATGTGATGAAACAAATACACTAAAAGATTACATGGTAGATACATATTTTATTTAAAAATGTTGCCTGGCAAGCATGAGGTTCTGAGTTTGATTCCCAGTAACAACAACAACAACAACAACAACAAAAAAAACTACCTAACTTCTGGGCCAGGGATATAGCTCAGCAGCACAGTGCCTGCCTGGCAAGTGCAAGGTCATGAGTTCAATCCCCAGTATTTAAAAAAAAAATGTTGAAAGTAACTAAGTATTTATTCAACTCACATACACATAGGTTCCTCTACGCTTGGATGTGACAAGGATGTGACCTTCTGGTGTGACAATCCATTGGGGACTGAGTAGACCCTGGGCGCCCTTGCCTGTGTTGGCTTTCCTCTATGCTTCGTTCCACTATGATCTAAGAAGAGCTTATTCACACGCTGGTCCCAGGAACCCTGGAAGGCAAGAGGAAATGGGCAAGGCTTATTGAGTTCTTGGCTGGAGGATGTGACACTATCACTTTCTTCACACTGTTGGCCAAAGCAACTCATAAGGCCGGCCCAAGATTCAAGGGAAGGGAAACAAACAAGAAGGGCACAGTCCACTCTGCTGAGTGCAATCTACTCTGTATCCACTCTGGCTACTAATTGTTGCTCCCATAAAGCAATGGGGTCCTGCCAGACAGACTTATAAACTCACCGAATTTTGATTATTCATCGGCAATCCTCTGCTTGGAATTCAAAGATGTAAATCTTCAGATCCTAGGAGAGAGAGAATTATTTAAACCCCATACAGCAGTCATGCCTGTGTATTACAGTTTCTCTTTCCACTGTTTCAGTTATCTACAGTCAGCTGCCATCTGAAAATATTAAACTAGAATTTCAGAAATAATTTATACATTTTGAATAATTTTTTGATCATTGATCAATTGTATCATTATAATTGTTCTTATTTTTAATCTGTTAGTTTTTTCCTGATTGTGCCTAGTTTATAAATTAAACTTTCTCATAGATGGAAAAACTGCATAGTTTTATAGAGGCTCCAGTACTGTGCACAGTTTTAGGCATGCACTGGGCGTCTCTGAATGTATCCCTTGCAGACAAGGAGGATCTACTGCATATTGGCCAGGCCAGGCTTCAGGCAGGCAAAGTAGTAACCGTACTCCAAAGCCCTGGTCAGGAAGGGATGCTCACGTTCAGGCTTGGGTCCTGCTCTCCCAGCCATTCCACCATGCAGACCCATGGCCTTCCCTGAGCCCGTGGGTCTGCCTGTGCAACCCTTTCCCAGTGATTCTCACAGACCACACCACTGACTCATTTTCTTCCCCCAATGCTCGGGGATGCCCTTTGTAAATGAAGAGCTCACTGGCCTGGTGCTCTCGGAGCCTGTGCTCCCTCTGCCCAACAAAGAAGTCAGGCAGAGTTCTTTGAGTCAGTCATATGCCGTCTCCTGGTTCTCCTGGTGTTCAGAAGAATTAGACTCAGATGAGCACACAGTCTTGGGCCAGAGAATATACCTTCTCTTTGTACTGAGTCCTGCAGACATGCTTGGGGTGGAACCTCCAACATCATTAGTATCATCCACGCAAACAAGTGGCTCTGACAGTTGAAAACAGATGATGCCAAGCACAACACTTAAAAAACCAGGAAGCCCAAGAAACTGTGCCCCCTTCAAAGTGGAGCCATATGGAGGGTCTTTCAGCAACCTTATGTTACAAGTCTCAGTAAAGAGAAGCAGACAGTGAGAAAAGTTTCCCAACTTGGACCATTGAGCCACTGAGTAAGCAAGCTGTGAACTCCCGTCGTAAGTTGTTAGCCACTTGCCAAAGTCAAAGTCTATGGGATCCATTCCTTTTCAATTAGCCTTTTCATTACATCATGAGTACCTTCCCTCTACTGCAATGCAGAAAGGTATATTTTATGGCATTTGTGGATCACAATGTTAGATTAAGGATGACAAGGAGAGCTGCCTAGCATTCTTCAGAGCTGAAGATAGGAGAGTTGGAGCTCGGAGCTGAGAGGGGTGGGAGTTAGACGCTAGGGGAAAACAAACACTTTTAGCTCAGCATGAATGAAATCAGACTCCTTGCCTGGTTCTGTTTTAAATGAAAGATATTAATATAGACTGTAACCAGACATCCTTAGTTTATAAATAATAATAATATGGGAGAGAGCTGGGAGGTGAAATTTTTGCCACAATGACTCATTTTATGTCAAATCATAGGTCAGATGGTGCCAGAAATTCAAGTCACATCCACCCTAAGCACAAGACAGATACATCTGTCCACTGGGTCTCCGTTTAGTCTCTAAGAGTAAAGACCCTTTGCGGTAACTCCCTGAGCTTTACACTCACCTTGGTTCCTTTACCTGCAAAAAATTAAAAAGTAAAAATTTTTGTAAAAGACAGACTACAGCGCTTCCTCCTTGTGGCTGCTGCTGCTAGCATTTTGGGACCCCAAGCCCACATCCAGCACTTGCCCTCACCATGCAGTGTCCGGTCAGGTACCGTTTCTGGTGCTGAATCTGCATTGCTCTAAACTCTGTTCCATGAAGGAGGAAGAGGAAACTGAGCCCTCCATCAGTGAGGAGATAGGCCAAATTGTGGGCTATTCACAGTGGGGTTCAGGGAAGGCGGAGCCTCAGACCCCATACAATCCCTACTCAATCCGAAACACTTGGAGATTTTGTTCCAATGAGAATGAGATTTTGTGGCTGAACAAAATCCCCAGGTGATTCACAGCCATGATAAAGTTTAAAATTGCAGTGCCCACAGTTATGAAACCACTAAATGTCAAAGCCCAGAGACAAATTCAACTGCATCCTACACCTTTTCTTTTCTCCATCATTAGTTTATGTTTGCTGTACACTTTCCCCACCCCTATCGCATCCTTGATTCCTCCTTTCAGAAGAGCTGGCCTGGACTTAACTCTTCTTATTAGCTGTGGTCAGACTCTCAGCTATCACTGTAAAAACTACCAGAATAATTCCCTGGGTGGCATGCATCCTGCCCCCAACCCTAAGGAGTAAAATTCATCTTTAAATTAGCAGCATTGCCCTTGGCTTTGAAAATAATAAAACAATTTTTGCAATGACTTTCAAGGATAAGACCCAAACCTGGAAGAGATAAAGAGAGGATTTGGTTTGTCTCTAAAAAGATTTATAAAATTCTTTGGTTGATGATGTGGCAGCAAGGAGCCACGGAAGGCGTAGGAAGGACTTTCTACAAGGGTTATAGGCCCTGGCTCCTCTTTCAATGCTTTGGCTTAGGAGACATCAGAGGGGACCCCCACTTTGCTGTGAGCAGTGAGGATGTGGAGACCCCAGGCAGGCCAGAGCCCATTAGTGGAGTTGCTCGGGAATCATAAACGCAGGGCTCTCTCGATCTGTTTTCCAAGACGAACTGTACATAAAGCCTGTGTGGGGTAGCAGATGATAGCACGCTTGAGGCTTTTAGCAATTGATGTTTACAGACGATAATGGAAACCACAAGTTTCTTCTTTAACTGGAGTCAGTATGCATTCCTTCAACCCACGGGCAAATTGGAATAGGAGGGGCTCACAGTGAGTCGTCATTTCACATTTTTAACAGCTTAATGAGCATCTAGAAATGCTGTATTAGCCAGCAAAAATACAGCCCCCCGCCCCATCACCACCACTAAATTCAGCAGTGACCGTATTTGGATATGCAACCTCTTAAGCATCTCCTTTAAGTGACTCCCTTATAGAAGGGAAGGGGCTAATGTGCCCACCACAGAGTTATGTACAAAATCATAGGCAAGGCTCTACAACTTCAGGTTACTACGGTTCCCTTGATTGTGTTCCATGTTTGAGAGAGTAATAGCATGATTTCTCCAAGGTTCCATGAAGCCTTGGGAAAGACTGGCCCAAGGTTCTTGGAAAAGAAGACAAACTTCTCAGCTCTGGGAAGAAGTTCTCTCAGCCCAGAATCGGGTGCTAATAGACAGATGGTAAGTGGAGGAGAGGGGTCTAAAGCCACAGCTGTGTGCTCCTGCGTGTCTCAAATCCGTGTGTGTGAGCACTGCAGTGTTTCACATCTTCTAAAACAACAAGTTCTGTGAAACCTGGGCAACTACGGTATCCCTGACCCTCTGGCATGTTCAGAGATCATCTCACGATGTGTGTACAATAGTGGGAATACACACACATATCGTGTACACTTATTTTAACGCTATACTAAGTCATTAGTTTTTCAATAACTTTTGACAATGGGAAGGGGAAGAGACTGAGGTTTTTTTTTTCAGATTATGTCCTGAGCCCCAAATAAATCTGTTTTGTCTTTTTACTTTTCTTTTTCCATTTCTTCTTATAGGCCAATGCTGGCTCCCAAGCCAACTGTAAAATCTAAACAATGCCAAGTGCCCTGGGCACTAGTGTTTGCATCTTTCAGATAAACTGCTAATTCTATATGCAGTTAATAGAGACTATTAGGGTCACCCAGTCTCATAAGACATCTGTGAGATTTTCTTGAATTTATAAAAAATAAATGTAAATACAGTCATGCCTTGGTACCCAAGAGAGGTTAGTTCCTAGAACCCCAAGATAGCAAAACACACGAATGTTCAACTCTTTGACATGAAACTGCATATCACCTCCTCAATCCTCTCCTATACTTAAAAACAACTGTAGATTACTGATAATACCTAGTGTATGTAGGGGCTGGGGATTCAGCTCAGCAGCATAAGCGCCTGCCTTGCAAGCAGGCAGTCGTGAGTTCGATTCCTGGTACCGATAAAAACAAAAAGACCAAAAAAGAAAGAAAGAAAGAAAGAAAGAAAGAAAGAAAGAAAGAAAGAAAGAAAGAAAGAAAGAAAGAAAAAGAAAATACCTAGGGCATGCAAATGCTTGTTAGACCTTGTTGTCAAGGAATTGTGATAAGAAAAAAGTCTGCACGTATTCAATACCGATACAATTTTTATTTTCCATCTGCTGCTGGTTGTTTCAGCCTGAAAATGAAGAGGCCAAGGGATCAGAGGGCCAACCCTGTAGCATTTGCAAAACAGCAGCAGGTCCACAACCTTGAGATCCCCTGGATTTTTTCATATCCCTACAGATTAGCTTTAAAAACAACCTGCCACTGCTGAGCCATGACTCATTTCAGAATTGAATTGTCAGCAACTGTAGAATTTGTAACAGTTGAGGGAAATATTCCTGTCATGCAAACCTGTGTCAATTAGATGGAGGTCCAGCTCAACAGAAGCAGTAATGTTTTTGATTAATAATGATAAAGGGACTAAAAATGTAAATGTATGTTTATATGTGATTGTGCCAGGTAAGTTCCTCCAAATAAAGCTGGTTCAATGCTGTTCTTTCAACTTTTTACAACGAGGTCATCTCTGCCCTGGAAGCCGATGGTCTTGTCAGAACAGGTTATGGCTCAGCACAGTCTCTGAGGACTCCCTCGGGACAGTCTCACCACTGCTGTAAGCTTGGGTTTTACTTCTCTTTTCTTTTCTTTGAGCAAGAGCTAAAGCAGTCTGTGAACGGTGGAGCTCAGAAGCAGCAGTTGGGTGTGGACAGCAGAACCTTGGCAGCCCGTTTCACTGGCTCCTTTATTCTGGCGGCATTGTGCTGAGAATTGCTTGTGTAGAACGCAGAACACTGGACAGAGCAGGGGGGACTGACAGCGGAGGATTTCCCACAGCGCTGGGGACAGAGGCTTTCTGCACACTGCTGGGCAACAGAGAGATGAATGCATCAGAAGTTAACTAACATTGCATCAGTAAGGAAAACACCAAACGACTATGCAAAAGGCTAAAGACAGATGGACTTCATTTGGATAATGATTGGAAAGCTGATTGTAAAACAGTTTTGAGGCAACTGAGAAAAACTACACATGACTGTGCATTTGATGTTACAGAATGCATGTGGATTTTGTTGCACGATAGTGGTTTTGTGCTGATGCTATAAAATGTGTAATGCTAGTGTCCTCTCGTTTCATCTATGTTGTTGTAAATGGCAGAATCTCTTTTTAAAGGTCAAATAATATTCCATTATATACATGTGTTTCTTAATTTCCCTATCTGTAAGGACTATCATTAATACTGGATTGCATTGTGGAGATTTGCTAAGAGAGTAGATTCTGGATGTTCTTACCACAAAAAATAAACAACTGTAAGGTGGTTAATGTGTTCATTTGCTTGGCCATAGTAATCACTTCAGAATGTGTGTATATATACACACAGATCTATATTTATTAAAATAATAACTATTTTTGAAAATGTCTATTAGAAATGCATAATGTAGTACTTACAAATGAAATTGCTAGGATTTGCTTTCAAGCTTGCAAAAAAGAGGGAGATGGAGCCCAGATGGATAGAACAGGAGAGATAATGAGACAGTGATTGCAGGAGGGAGGTGACAGACCCAAAGCTTCACTATATTTTTCCTCTGCAATCCTCAGTGTTTGAATACACCCTTCAAAGTTAACCTAATCTGGCAAACCTTTCCAAACACTCACAAAACAATACCTGCCCGCCTGCCAGCACTTTCACCACCCCTACCTAGCCTTAGGCTGGGAGCAGGATGGACCCCCCACCCAAAATCTGGTTGGATGAAAAGAATAACAGTGTCTCCACATATCCAGAGAGTAGGAGGGTCCAGAAGCATTTAGTGTTCCCAGCAGGAGGTTTTGGAGGAAGGTGGACATAGAGGAGTAGCACTGTTCCACCCTGCTGCACCGTACTGCTCCGCCCTATACGTGCAGCTGGGTGAGGGTGAATATTTTGTACTTCTAGTTAGAACTTCCTTCCCAAGCAACCTGCCTGCCTCCTGACACCACTCCTCCCATCTTCCTGTCTTGGAGACAAAATCAATTCTTAAATTCTTTAGTGATGTCCTTTTCTACTCACCTTTCCAAATGAAATGAAACACACCATCATATAGCAAGGCAGAGAGAACTTTAAACAAGGAGGCTCATTATTCCCCTCCACACACCAGGGAAGGGCATAAACAAATAAACACAATATTGCTCATGGGAAGTCAATGCAGGAGAGGCCTGCTTTTCACCAGTCAGTGACCTGTAAATTAAATGCCCAGAGCCTCAGTCTCATCTGGTCCTGATTTTCAATCAGCAGTAAACTGATATGTGGTGGGGTTTTTTCTCTCACTTTCATTATAACTTGTTTTCATCTAGTTTATATTTCCAAATGTACTGGTTTTCAAGCCTGAACTGTCACATTAAAACACACACATAGGCCTTCAGAATATATAAGCTAGCTGACTCAGTGGCAAAGAGGCGCCAAGCCTTTGGTTTATAGGAACTCGCTGAAGATTTTTTTGTCTGAATTAATTATGGTGGGAGTCGTCGTGTTGTCAGGTGGGGGGGGGGGAATGTGAAGGGGTCCTGTGTGGGGTGATGCACTGAGCAGGGACAGAAGTGAATAAAGAGCCCTGCAGGGACTTGTGCAGATGGGCCCATCAGACTCATGCTAGTGAGCGCAGAGGGACTTGGGAGAGAGGAAGGCTGGGCACAGATGTCACCAGTCTCAGCAGCGATCTGCACACCTGGCAGATGGTAGAGGAGAAGGCTCACTCTCCTGACCAGTGAGAGTGAGTGAGACTCGTGTGTCACACCCAGAATGGAGCAGCCCAAACCCTTCCCTCTGATTCATTCTCAAAAAGATGAATCAGCACAGGGAATGAGCACATTGAGGAGTATTGGGAATCTTCCAGGCACCCAGGCTGCCATGCATGAACAGCACACACTCCTGCTGCAGGGTGTACACCGGCCAGGCAACGCTAGGGCCCTGCCAGCACCCACCCTACCTCCCAAGCAACGCCTACCCCCAAATCCCTAACTCCCAAACTCCTGAACCCTAATTCCTGCCTCCAACCTCTCAGGGCTCATTCCATGGGGCAGGCGCCTCCTCCCTCCAGCTCTCTCCTCTACATCAGGACCCTCTCCCTTCCCTGCTACAGGGAGGCACTGGACACAGGGATGGGGCTCTAGCAACTGAGGGTCTCAGACACCTCATGAGCCCAGAAGATGTCATGGTAAATTTGGGCTCATCATAATGCCACCCCCATTTCCTACAGATCCTATACACAGTTCAAAGATGAATTTTTGTTTCATATAAATGATCCAGAATCTAAATCCAAACATACTTTTTTCCTCCAAGTTTAACTGTTCATGTAGCAACATTAAAAAAATAAATGTTTTGAAATATTGGCCTTTACCATCTTTCTCTGAATTCTCTTCCTTCCTGTCTGATTCTGAGACTTTCTTTCTTTTTCTCTCTACCTCTTTTCCTAAGGTTCTTTCCATGTGAGGCGTGGCCCTCTCCCTTGTGAGAATGCTTTAAATCTTTATTTTCTGCCCTCTTCTAGAAACTTCTATTTCTATCTGACGTTAAATCAGAAGTCAACACATTTTGCCTGACTACTGTTTTTTACCAAATGTCTTTAATAGTCTGAACATCCTCTTCCTCTGTTATCACCACTTTCTTTACATACATGTGTACACATGCGCACTCACACACATACCTGTGTCTCCCCACACCCTTGTCCCTGCTATCTTGACTTATAAAAGCCTTGGAGAGTATGCACCATGCAGAAATAACCTAAATACCACGTTAAGGATGTTTACTTCACTTAGAAAGTACAAAACCAAAAAGAAAAACATATACCAGACATCAAGAACACAATTTCCTTATAATAAGTACAACTGATGAAGTTTCAGCCTCTGTTGGACATTGTGCTGTAAAGGAATTGTCTCAAAACAATGTTTTGCTCCATACAAAGTCAGCCAGGGAGAAACCTGTCTAACATAGCAAATGGTTACAGAGAAAAGTGTTCTCAGTTTGGAATTCAGGAGGGCTGGGCTTGAGTTCTGTCCCATTCTGTTTGAGTTACTATACCATAACAACCTGTGTAGTTTATAAACAACAAAAATACATTTTCCATACTTCCAAAGGTTGAGAAATTCAAGATAAAGTTGCCAGCAGATCCAGCATCTGGTGAGGGCCCACTTTTCAGTTCAGAGATGGCTCCTTCTTGCTGTCCCCTCACATAATAGAAAGAGCAAGGAAGACATTAATCTAATTCTTAAATGGCCTATCCTCATGACTTTCTCCATGAGCTCAAGTCCCTGACCACATAACACTGGTGATTAGGTTTCAACATCTGAGTCTTCAGGAAAACACATGCATTCAGACAATAGCAGACTCTACCAATCCAACATGTACTCCCTTCATAATGTTTACTTTAATTGCATCAAAATGCACATTATTTGAAAGATGTATTAAATTTACCATGTTAATCATTTTCAAATGCATAGCTCAGTATTATCAATTACATTTGCATTGCCGTAATGAGATGAGATCTGGCGCTCATTTTATTTTCTGTGGAAATTCCAGTTTTTTCAGAAGGAATTACTGAAAAGTCTATCCTTTCTCCATTGAATTATTTGCTCACTCGGACAAAATTCAATAGTCCATGTATACAACAAGTGATCAAATTAAACAGGGAATGTTTATGTTTTAAAAATTTATTACAATAAAAGACACATTACCTTTAGCCTCCTTGAAGTAATCACCCTCTCGCCACAGTTCTTCCATAGTCATTGCCACTCTCTGAAGCAGTTCTGGTAGTACTCTTTCATGTGTGTATTTACGAGGCACGATCAAAAATATGGTCAATGCAGCTGCCAAATATCATTCAACAAAAAGATAGGCTTGTAAAAAAATATCATGATGTATCCTCAATCACCAGATCTGGCACCGTGTGACTCCTGCTTCTTCCCCAAAGTCAAAATGACTATGAAAAGTAAATGTTTTCAATCATTTCAGAACATCAACGCAGCCGTGACAGGGCAACTAAAGACACGAATGAGAACTTTTAGATGTTCTGCAGAGAAGTGACAAAAACAATGGGCTGAGTGTGTTTGAAGGTGCGGCAGGTTTTTGGAAGGGAATTAATGGCAATGTGTCTTTTACAATGCTGTAATAATTTTTAAAATATAAATATTCTCCATAGCTTCCATAATGCCTCATATATGAGTCCATTCTGAAGTTCGTTTTCTGTTCAGCTGGTTGATATGCCTCTGTTTACAACAATAGCATCTTTCAAAACTTATTCTACTGTATCTACAGATACAGTAAGTCTTCCAATTGGTCTTTTTTTTCAAGATGCTTTGAGTATTTTAAACTTTTTGCTTTTCCATATAAATTTTAGCTTTTCAATTTCTAATAAGAAAAAACAGCCTAATAGGATTTTTATTAAAATGGAGTAGTTTGGATAATATAGAAATCTTGGTGTTACTACATCTTTCAAACTATAAACTTAGTATATGTTAATATACCATATTCTGACTTCTTTCTTAATCCCCAAGCAAAATTGTATAGATGTTTCCCAGAATGTGGTTGCTATGGCTTCTATCTAGGTGTCACTCAAAGCCTTAGGTGGGGCTTTTCAGAGGTGGCTGGATCTAGAGTATGTGATTACTAAATTTGTCCAATAACTACTTTGCATAGTTGTGGTTATAGATAACAGGAGCCCCACCATACATGTGAGCACTACCTACCTTAAGGGCATGTAGCCTGGACAGAATATAAGCGACAGAAAAGAGGGCTGCTCTAGTGCCCAATGTTTCTTTACTGCTTTCTGCCTTCTGCCTTCTGCTTCCTGCCTTCCATGAACTGTTTCTCCACTGTGATGCCCCTCTGAAATGCGAC